ATTTTTACCAGGATTTTCTAAAAAAAAATCAGATATATTAACATCCATTTGTGAATAAGTTCTGATAATTTCATTAAAAACCGACAATTATTTAATTTTAGCTAGAATTTCCGAAACAATGTGATTTAACGCAAAAAAGACGCTAAAAATCCTTATATAAATCTTTATCGCTGGAAGCAAGAACAAGATATTCAACTAAAATTTCGCAGGTGCTAGAAACGATTAAAAAATTTAATAAAATAATACAAAAATACATCGGTCTGTTTTCTTAATAATAACATAAAAATTGTTTCGTTAAAGACAACAAACAAGGTATTGTAATTAAAAATTTTATTTAATTTTTCTTGTGTACGTACAGTTGTTTTATTTTGTGGACACAAATTGTGTAAAAACTGTCCAAAAGTTCTGCATGCTCGAGCGCTTTCGGCTATGCCTTTAGCCATTATCAAAGATGATTTTATTTTAATTTTAACTGAATGCATGGGTTGTGTTATGTATGTATCTAGTGTTATAGGAATGTTTTTTCCAAGCACGGTCAGCACATTTTGCTGTGTTCATAGTTAATGTAAGTGGGTGTTGGCTTTTTTTATCATTAGGGCTTCCATTATGTTTAATCTTTTACATGATTTTTTACATGTGGATGAGATTATTATGCTTGAATTTTCTATTAGTATATTTCGAATGGAATCTGGTAGGTTTTTGTGCGGGTTTAAATGAGTTATAGTAGAGCTATGGTCGTGTAGGGGTGACGTAAATCGTATGGATAGGCATGTAGTAGTGTGGCCTATGTAATTATTTATGAGTTTGGTTTAATCTGGAACACAATTCCCGTTGGTCCTTTGTAGTTTTGATTTTGCAAGTGTGTTGTTATTTTTTTATGATAAGGCTAACTTTTTTAAATTTTTCGTAAAAGATAATTTTCTTGTTCGGGTCGACTGGGGTAATGTACATATTTATATTTCTAAATGGAAATTCATCTTGCTTATAGTTGACATAAATTTTGTTTTTGTAAAATATGTTAATGTTATTGTTTTTGTCTGTATGTTCAGTATCGCTACTAGTTACTTTGGAAAATAAATCGGCTAATCTGGTGGTCGATGAGGTAGTTAGGAAAACCATTGTTAACTAGTGTCTGTTTTGTATTATTGAATTCTTTAGGGAAAAGTAGATGAGAGGATGGATTCTCGTGTTCTTGCTTCAGGATTGTTTTTATAACTGCTAAGAGAGCATTCACTCTTAAAATTAAAGCGGCAAAAGTTTCTGCTAGTGGGTTTGTTATATAATGAGGTGGTGAAAGTGTTATTCCTGTATTCTATGAGAACATCCTTAACTTTACCTATGAACTAAGTCAAAAAATAAACTCCCATTCTTTGACGTTTTAATCATTGTACCTCAACACAACAACTCCAAAAAAAAAAAGTCCAAAATGTTCTCCATTTGCTTCTACACACGCATGCACATGTATAAATACTCTCACACGGTGTCGAATGGTTTCGCAGGTTCCCATAATACATTTATGAAGCGTCTCTGCATTATTAATATCTGTTGCATAAAACTATTGTTTTAAGTGACCTCACAGATAAAAATCCAAATGTTTGAGGTTGGGGAAACGGGCAACCATGCAGCTGGTCTTCTCCTACCTATCCATCTTTCATGGTAGATGTCAGCCAGTGCATCGCGAGCAATGTGACTAAAATGTTGGAGCCCCATCATGCATGAACCACATGCGTCTTAGTATTAACAAGAGTACATATTCTAGCACATCTGGAAGTGTGTTCGAAATAGACAGCTCCTGTAAGACGTGCTGGGAGAACATATGAACCAACCAGAGAGTCACTTACAATTCCAGTCCACTCATTAATCGTAAACTGATGATGGTGTCTAGACAGTATTCTACCATAGGGATACCGACCCGCCCAGGAATGGTTGTGTAAATTTGTTATTCCATCTCTTCCAGATGTTGCCTCAATGGATCGGCAGTTTGTGCAATAAACTCTGTGTAAAAGTTCTCCAATGGGGAGTGATTAGAGAGCGAAAGACCCTGCACACATACGGATAAAAAAAGCTCTCTTGAAGTATCCTCCATGCGGTACTATGAGATGCACGACATGCGAGGGACACTTGACGGGTGTTGATACCTGAATTGTCTCCGACAGCTTATAGAATGCGTTATTCATGTTCAAGTATACGAGCGGGTCTCAGTCTACCTTGATCTATAGTTTGTGGTGCCACGGATCCTGTCTCAGCAGCGCGACAATAAACAACAGCAAAAGTTGAATGACTCGGCTGCCTTTTTTCCATTACTATTCGTGCCACCTTATGTAAAAATCTTATCTACCTGCTCACGATATGAATATACTGCCATTGTTAAACGGAATACATCTCAGTTAACTAACTGCTACAAACGTTTAACGTTGACGACAGACGAGCCACAAATGTACACGAATAATAACTGTAACCTAGTCTATATGGCAACACAGAACCATCTACCGTAAACTTTCTTTAAACTTAACTAAAAAACAAAGGATCTGCGGACATATGTTTATATGGACTTTCACCTTTGTTTTGCTGTGAGAAACCCGCCCCAAAATTTGTGTTTGATATACCCTGAATATATATATATATATGTGTGTATGTGTGTGTGTGTATGTGTGTGTGTGTACAAATCAAATCAAAGTAACCTTTCCGTCGAGAAGAAAATAGCTATAATCACTTTCCAGCATAGCATAAAAACCTAAACATGATATCACTGCCCATTTGCAAATTCAGACACGAAAACAAGTTCCTACTTCACTAACTACAATCACATCATTAATAAACGTCTAGTTTGAGAACAAAACTTGGAACTAAAGAAAAAATATGAAAAATATACAAATCAAATAAATGGATTATATTAATGAATAAAATAATAGATAAATAAAATAAACCATCTAAAATCATGTCTATAAATAACGAAATACATAAAATCTCTAAACAAAAGAAACTTGGAATATTTGTCTATCTATCTATCTATCTATCTATCTATCTATCTATCTACTCAAATTTGCTGTGCGTGTTTTTATCGGCTATCTAATGTAATAGATTTACAGTAGTAAAACCAAACAAATAAACAGTGTAGCAAACGTTATTATATGAATATTGATCTCGGTTAATACGAGTCAGTGTACCTCCTTTTGTCTCTAGGGAAGTTTTGTTTCATCTCCCTTAGCAATCTACAGAGACCAGTAAAGTTATATACACCTACAATTGATTTATAATGCATTAGCATATTTCATTATCTAATATGAATTGATCACCATTGTTATATCGATATTAATGCGTAGATTTCTGTTCAAGTAGCTACTGTGGAAAAATTAGTTATGATGTATTGTGACATCTGCCATTATACAGTAATAGATCTTTTCAAGAGACAGACAAGAATAAAAGCAGAAAAGCCAACCGAAATGTTGAAAATGCAGCGCGTTCAATCTTACTTGCTGTGCGATGATCTGGTCTTTCTGAAGGAAGAACTCATTTAGATAGAGAGAAATGAAACTAAACTGAAAAATTTATCTAATATTTTAGCAAAATACAATTGATAGAATAATAAACTAAATACTAATGAAACCTTTGATTGAAGAAATAGCAAGAATTCAGTTTACTCTGAGCCATCTTCTTCTGAAAACATTACTAAATACATTGGGCTAAATTAGATTAAAGAAAGTGACTTCATCACCTATGTAGAGTAGAATATAATGGCATATATAACAGACACGATTGTAACCTATCAAAACTACAAAACAAGGTTATATAGCAGACAAAATTCATTTCAAGAAGACCGAAGAACTGACAAACTATAATGTATAAAAGAAACGAAAACGATGAAAGTATTTAAAAATGAGACATCGAATAATATCTTTATTATTCATAAAAGATAAATTTAAAAGGTTGGATAGTTTCAATCCATAAAAGCGTGTTAAAACACTAACAATTTTTACGTTTGATAAACAATGTAAACATTTCAACATTTGATGTTTGTATCATGATATTTCAAATAATTATTCAATAGTGATGTGAATATTATGGACAGCGGCATAGAAATCATAGAGCTGAGTTCGAATTTCAATCTTCGTTATATTCGCTTACGCGCAAGTACCCTTAGGAAAGGTATGAATCCATCTCTTCCCCCTTCCAGCTATGGGTAAATAGTAAGACAGACGGTCCCTATAACCTTGGTTGGCAAACAGTCTAGGAGAAGGAAGACTCTTAATTGGATTCTGTAAGGTTTTCTTGCGCAAGAGACGCCACTACTGTCAGTATAGGTAGTTCCTGTATCCTAAGGACTCGTGATCGTGAAATCAATGCTAAAAATAATGATAATAGTAACGGTGTAATTAGACATAAAGGAAACATTCGACATTCATTAACCAAATGTCCTTTAGTGTTACTTTGGGTTGAAATTTATAAAATATTTTTTAAAACAGTTTTTTTTTTCCGGAAATTATACTTTTCAAGTTCATGTTTATCTTTTTTGTATTGATGGGAATTTCCTTTTATGGTAGCATGGAAAGTTATCATCTTGTTTATACCATTATTTTCCGTTCCAGTTACACGTGTTACCCAATTTCGCTGTCGTTACTGTTAGAAGCGTTCACGTCATGTGGATTTTATTATTTACTAAAGGTATTTGTGTGTGATTTTGGAGTGTCGGTGTATAGGATCTGATGAAGGATTGTCTTCTGTAATGTTTGATCCGTTTTCTACGGCTTATCAACCCTTTTCAGGTTATTTAAAGCTAGAAAATATTTTTAGATTGTAAGAATTTTTTGAAGGTAGGGAGATAATCATGGTTTAGGGATACAAGTATTACTAAATAACCCATATCTGGGAAGAGAAGAGGTGGATTTATACCTTTCCAAGGTTATTTCCTCGTTTAGTGAATATAACGAACCAGACTGGAATTGAAACTCGGCTCTCCGATTAACAATTCGAAACCATTATTCATTACAACATCCAAGATTACAGAAGCTGGTATTCCCAAGCTCTCATCCATCTAGATACTGACCAGGTTCGACGTTGCTTAACTTCGGTGATCGTATGGAAAACGGTGTTTTAACGTGATATGGTTGTAACAGACAAACAGGATCATTCAATTGAATACATTTTGAATTATTGATGTGAGAAAAAGGTTGTATATTGATGATAGTTAACAGCTTTTTTGACTGAGTTGGGTGCCATACCTGGCATCCATTATAAGAGTTTAGATCTTACCAGACTAAGAACATGGCAGGTTAATATATTTTTTACCATCTTACGGTTTCTGAAAACACCATAGCGCAGCATATCAGGTTTTCAATTTCCTTATCACCTACACTACACCAATAACTAATCCCCATCCCGAAGAAAAAAACTTTATATGCATATGTGCTATCTTCATCATTATCAGTTTATTGACTGCTTCAAATGTCGAGGCGACTTGAGACTAGAAGAGACTGAGTATGATTCTTCTTCCTCCAGATAGTTTCAATGAGTTTTCAGATAGCTTGGCAGCTTCCATCTCCTCTCAAAGCTTTTGACCGACAGTTGAAGACCACAGAAAATAGTGTGGGTTGCGCTCGGTACGTATACTAGAATTTCAGGTTTTGGATTATCCTGCTCCTAGACTGGTTGCCACCTAAAGCTACAGTACACAATCTGTTCTGTCATTTATTCATACCTGGGGGAGAAGAGATTTCCCTTGGAAAAGAAAGTGAATGTAATGAACTCGACTAGAATTTGAACTCCATCTATTCAATCAACAAACAGAAATTAATTCCTAAATCCGAGCCGCTATCTATTAATACACTTGGCCGCTATTATTCCATCTATTCAATCAACAAACAAACAGATGTTAATCTGCTTTTGCTTATACGTGATATTACTTTCAATTTTAATAATGTCATCAGAACTTGTAAGATTATATTTACATCCGGTGTTATTGTTATATCAGCTCGAATTCATGATAGTCTACTTTCACTGGAAACTTATTATTCAATGCTCCAAGCTGCTTATTTGAAATCGTAGAATATAAAATAATCTGATTGTTACGATAAAAAGCAAGATACGAAAACAGAAAGAAAAACTAATTTTTCTTCTTAGGTTCGCGTACGATCACCGAAGCTAAGCAATGTCGAGCCTGGTCAGTAACTAGATGGGTGACTGCTTGGGAATACCAGGTGCTGTAAGCTTGGATATGTGGTTTGTGTAACGCATCATGTAATTTGCATCTATTGTTAATTGGAGAGACGAGTTCCAATTCCCGTCGGTCTCGTTATATTTAGTTACGCTCAAATAATCTTAGGAAAGGTATGAATCCACCTCTAATTAGTAAGACTTGTATCACTAAACATTATTGTTTCAAAAGCAAACCTCTTTCAATCTAAACATATTTCCTGGCTTTAAATAACCTGTAAAGGGCTGGTAAGCCGTAGAAAACGAATCAACAAACCAAATCTCTTTCTATGTGCCGTGTCCGATCAGGCCCCTCCTCAATTTTCTGTCCTTTGTAGCACTTAATAATTTTTTGTTATATCTCCTATACCATGTTCTGCCATCCATTTATTCATGTTCCCTGGGTAGGTTACGCGTTGTTTTCCTCTATCTCCTCGGTCTGTTCAGTTAGTATCAAGTTTTCTAAATCGTCTTTATGTGCCCTAGAAGGTTCTCTAGAACATCATCATTGCTCACAGTCAGTTCATATGGTATTGTCAGCATTTCCATTACCTGAAGTCTCTTCGTCATCTCTGAGGAGATTGACCAGTATTCACTGCCATATAGGAGAATATATATCACTTAACAGTTCAATACTCTTTTCTTAGTTTCTTTTGGAATGCATGCCTTGGCTACCTCAATACGCCATCGTATTTCAGTGTCACGCATTCTGGTCTCTGTTAAAAGTCTTCCCAGACATTTAAATCATTGTACTTGTTTGATTTTGCTATCTCCAATTTTTAATTTGCATATCGTGCTGTTTCTTTTGCTGACATCTATGCATTCTGTATTCCTGCAATTGATGTTTAGTACTTTGTTCTGGATTTCTTTCTTTTTGTTGGAGTTCTTGTAGTTTCATTTCCGTGTCAACATTGGGACATCTGCATGTCATAAGTTGTTAAGATTGTGGTAGGACTACTAATTCTTTCAGAATCACCTTCCCATATAGATTCAATAAGTCCAGTGTAAAGACACATCCTTGTCTTAAATTATTTACTATGTTTTTATTTTTAGATAATTCTTTTTCTATCCGCATGCTGCATTGTTCTTTCTCATATCATTATGAGCATAAATATCGCATTCCTTGTTCCAGTATATTTAACGAACTTGCAATGTTCTTGTCCTATTTCCGGTCGATTTCTCCTGTCTATTCATCAAAATTCGAATAATAAGTTTTTTTTTTTATATGGCTCATTAGACAGATTTCCACTGGAGTTCACATTCTTTTGCACCTGGCTTCTTGGGCAGTTCTATGAAATTGAATCTACTTATGTCTTCTGATTTAGCACTACTGTTATATATTTCATTTATTATATCTATAATCTTGTCAATGTCGAAATTATCTAAGGTTACCAACATTTCTATTATAATTCCCTCTGGTCATAATGCTTTGTTTCTGTTCAGTTTAGTCGGTGCAGATTTCACTACAGAATTGTGTTAATAAAAAAAAATTCCTGGTAAACTGCAAAAAACAGCTACTGTAGTAGTTTGCTGAGAAAGATAAAAACGAAATGCTAATAAGGTGTAATGTCGAAATTAGCTGTCAGAAAATATTACAAAATGTGTCATTATTATTATTGTTATTATGAGGTATCAGGACACTAACAATGCGCAAGAAATGGTAAGAGGGACCGTCACCTGTAATAGTAAGAGCATAGAAAATTTAGATACAGCTGTTTACTGTCAGTTTTTTTATTACATCTTCAGTTCCCGATCAAAAGTTTTGGTTTGCGCATAATTCATTGATTTGCATAGAAGACATCAGTTATTTGTACGATTACGAATGGATCACCTTTCTCACCCAGTCATGCTTTTTTGTATTTTGATTCAGTGATTTGCATTTAATTATTATTATTATTATTATTATTATTATTATTATTATTATTATTATTATTATTATTATCTTTGATTTCTGGCGTTTACACATTTCTTTCCGGGTCCCGCCCAGAGACCTAAGGTTAGAAATGGCGTCATGATAGTTTCCACTGACAAAAAAAAAAAAAAAAAAAAAAAATTAAATTACATAGATAAAGCCCTTCGTAAGGTGTGGGCTGTACTTTTCAGAACAATTTTTTGTATCTCCTTGAGGCATGGACTTCCAGGAATCCCTTCAATTAGTCTACTGAAATCTTTTCCAACTAGTCCTAGGGCTCCAACTACAACAGGGATTGTTGATGTTCCCATATGCCACATTTTCGAGATTTCTATTTCAAGGTCCTTGTACTTTGACAACTTTTTGAATATCTTCAAAGATACATTGCAGTCAGCAGAGGCTGCCATATCAATAAGGAGGCACCGTTTTTGTTTGTGGTCTTTAATAACAATATCTGGCCGGTTGGCCTTGATTGTTCTGTCAGTGTGTATTGTGTAATCCCATAGAATTGTAACAGGTCCTATCTCCGTAACCGGGTCTGGGTGGTGTTCATACCAGTTTCTTCCAATTTCCTTCCAGTGATTTGCATTTAATTATTATTATTATTATTATTATTATTATTATCGAAAAAAGGCACACCAATAATGTCTGTACAAATATATGAAGCCCAATATACCTATTATGTCACCCATTCTTATAAGGATAGAGCCAGCATATGCAACAAAACGTGCGTAATATGCTGACAGATTTTCATAGGAGTAAAGCATATCCTTGCAGGTGTGACCTAGAAATACATTCAAGTTGGGTAGCGTAATCGACTGATACTGTTTCCGATTAGGGATGCTTCCAAGTATCGAAATGTGACCCTCAAATTACCATGACTGCTTAATCAATCAACTCTTTCGACACCCGGCTATGCTTCTCACTTTCTAACATCTCCCATGAGCAGAGAAACAACATGTGATAGACTTTAGGGGACATGGCCAACTGGTTGACAAACTAGTAAGGCTGGGGTACTGAAACAAAGAAACGAGTACTAAACTGTTATGTAATATTACTACTACAAATCATCAGATATTTTCTTTGTATACTGAAATGAGTGAATTGAAATCAAATTGAGAATTACTCTGAAAGTTTTCCAAGGCACCTGGAAGAATTAATCGAATAGAGTCTCCATTTTTTTCTCATGCAAAAGAATTAATATTTTTCTAATATTCACTTAGTCAAATATATCATTATAAACGTCTGAGCAAAATTAATGAAATCTAATATCAGAACTTTTTTATTGCAAAATAACTTAAAATAAAGGGAGGGAATTTAAGTTTGTACAAACGCAACAAACATACGATAAATATATATAATTTCTTAAATTCTGGTTAAATTAATGTTCTCTAGGGCACAAAGAAATATATATTTATATATTTCATTTATATGTTTTGTTTTTAATCGGATCAATCAGCAAATGGCCTTCTTGAATTTTACAGATGTTTTCGATGCGAATTGTGCAACACCAGTCGAGTTGTGCGCAAACATAATTATTTTTTGTGGAGTATGAGGATTGGTCCACTGATGAAGCAACGGATCACAACTTTTTCGTTCGGAGCCGCCTAAAACGAGGAAAACTTTATTCTTTTCCCTCTGAAAAGATAGATTCAACAGGTGGACATGAAACTTACATAATTCTATAATGTTGAGAATTCTGAATCTATCAGGAAAGAGTGTCGTGAAAGAATTCTTGTACTTGTTCAAAGAACAGTAGCGTAGCAGTCACACTATTTTTAAGTTTGGGTGTTTATTGAAATATTAGAGGAATCAAATGACCATAAATCTCCTTCATTTGTTTAAAATAAGGCTGAATTCTAAGACTTCTGGCTAGAAATCATCTTAAAAAGGTACGTACAGGCACTCATGAAGAACATAGTAAAAGAATATAAGAAGGAATAATCAATTGTAAGAATAAAGAATGTATGGTTGCTAACAAAATGAACGGCCAAAGATGCGAACAACGAATTAGAGACGTCAGAATTGAGCGAGTACGAATAGTTAAATATCTTGGTAGGTTTTTAGAAGATGGAAAATGTGATGTTGAAATCCGAAAGCGCATTGGAATAGCGAAAGATATTTTCCAAAAGCTAAGTTAAGTATTAAGAAATAGTGGTTGCACTGAAGGACGATGAAAATAACATAGATTGAACATATGAGCAGAGATGAAGTTTTAAGGAGAAAGGAAAACAAGGAGAACATTTCTTTAGAATCAGAAAAAGGCAGTTAAAATTTCTAGGGCGCATAATAAGAAAAGACGCTTAGAAAATGTGACCCTCACAGAACATATTGAAGTCAAGAGGGACATAGGAAAGCAAAAAATAACCGATCTAACAAGCTTGGGTATATTATTAGCAGGACAAGGATTAGAAGAAATAGCAAAAAGAAAACCACTGTTTAGTGCTACAAAGGACAGCAAGTTTTGAAGAACCATGCTCGCCCACGTCCTGAAGAACCATGGTCGCCCACGTCCTGAAGAACCATGGTCGCCCACGTCCTGAAGAACACAATACAAACAAGAAGTATGTTGATTATGTGTCGCTTACATTTATGTTTATTATGACACCTTTTTAAGTGTCGTCATATCAGCACACATTAAGTGATCATCATATGATGATCTTACGTCATGAAACTTCCATGTAATGTTAATTTCTATGAGCAAGCATATTGTGGACACAAGCAGACATTTGGCATCTTTGGAACATTTTCCGAGAGATTTGGCCTTATCTAGTCTGAAAGTAGACAGAAAGGCTTTAACTTTGTTCCAACTCTAATTATTTGTCAAGTAATTGACGTTTGAAATTAATCCAAACTCACTCACGTTGAAACATTTATTTTTTGATGATAGAGTTCTAGATTGTTGATATTTCTGCCTCTTTTTGCTTGGAAATTCATTTGAATCTTCTTGAAATGGGACATATAGGTTTAACTTGACAGTCCTTTAAAAATTAATTATATCAAGTAGAATTTGTTGCTTTAAAACAAAAAAATAAGTTAAATTAACATGATGAATTGCCATATTTTTCTGCATTTTTCTCTAACTCCATTATTTCGAATAACA